CCTCCTTCTCATCCTCATCCTCCTCCTCCTCCTCTTCCTCCTCGCGGCGTGAGGTTCACGTGGAGATCGGAGATCGTCATAGCCACGGAGAAACCCCCCCCCCCCCCCCGCCAGTCAGTTCCCGGTAAACTTCGCTCCGTTAGCATCGTTAGCTTCAACCCGAAACATGGCTACGCTGGTTCTGGAGGACGGCTCGACGTTCAGGGGCCGCATGTTCGGAGCCGACGTGTCCGTGTCCGGGGAAGTTGGTGAGTTCACTCTAGCTCGTTTATAACTTGAGGCTAGTTCGGGCTCGTGGTGAGAAATCCACCTGCGCGTGCAGCTAACTTCACGAGAAAAAAAACTAAAAAAAACTTTATATTATTGACCTGCTGCTGCTGAAGGTGCGCGTCACCGAACTCCATTCAAATATCTGTTGATTCGAGGTTGGCTAAGCTAACGTGGTCTTCTGACGCACGTCACGTCGACCTGTTCCTGGTAAAGATGGAGCTTCATCTTCTCGCCGCTGTTCATCCGTAGCGCCACCTGCCAGGGGCGCTTCTAACGCGTGTGGTTCCCTGGGCCCCCTCAGGGCTCTCCCCATACGAACCTAAACACTGAATTATTTCTGACACCCACTCATTCCCGTCACCTGAGGAGCAGAACATCACATGTGCCTCCAGCCTACCTTCAAATTCTGCCTGTATCCTTGATCGCAAGGTCAAAACACTTAGTGGCGCTAAAGTTACGTCCCTAACATCCGCAGGTGGCCGCTAACACCTGCTAACATGGTAACTTGAATTGTGCAGGAGGCCGTCAAACGGCTCAAGGGTCATTCACCATCATGTCTTATATTCTAAAATAAATACATAACATATATTGCACACAAATTAAATTGCACAACTGCCAGGGAGTCGTGCACTGATGGTTGTGTTTGGTGGTTAGTGTTTCAGACAGGTATGGTGGGCTACCCCGAGGCTCTGACCGACCCATCCTACCGCTGCCAGCTGCTGACCCTCACTTACCCCTTGGTTGGCAACTACGGGGTGCCGAAGGACGAGGATGGAGACTTTGGACTGAGCAAGGTGAGCGTCCGTTATAAGTTCCAGTCAAATTGAAAAAGCGCTGACGTCATGCAAACACCTCACAGTGATGTGTTTTCTCGTTCTCGCTCAGTGGTTTGAGTCGTCTAAGATCCACGCCGCAGCTCTGATTATCGGAGAGCTGGCGGACAGTCCGAGTCACTGGAGTTCAGTCAAGTCACTGGACCAGTGGCTCAAAGAGCAAGGCATCCCTGGAATACAAGGTCAGAACTCTTGAAGCTCGACAGACGATATAGTTTCAGACATTGTGAAGGGAAATGTGGAATTTAAAATGATGGAATAGCATGAAGGTCTTTGCACCTTCCAGACTTTATAATATCACAAATAATGGGGTTAAGTGTTCTCCTGCTTCGCTGGTGAGGATTTTATCATCTGAGATACTTTCAACACTTTTCATCGGACCATATTTTCCATGCGCTCCAGGGATCGACACCCGCCGCCTGACCAAAAGGATCCGAGAGAAAGGCACCATGTTGGGGAAGCTGGTGATGGACGGGACTCCTGAGGACAGTATTCCCCTGGACAACCCTGACAACAGGAACCTGGTCCAGGAGGTCTCCATGAAGGTAACGCAACCGCATGACGGTGTGGCTCACACCAGCACAGACATCTCTCTGATAGCCTTTTAAATTAAAATCCTTCTTGTGAATAATCCGGAATCCTGACACACAAATCTTTGCCCGTGACTCTTTAGGAGCCCAGAGTGTTTAACCCCAGTGGTAGTCTGCGAATCACAGTGGTGGACTGCGGCATCAAATACAACCAGATCCGCTGTCTGGCTGAGAGAGGCGCCCGAGTCACTGTCGTGCCCTGGAACCACCCGTTGGACAGCACAGGTCAGTATCACGCTGCTGCTGCGTATCGATGACATTATGAAACGTTGGATCCAGGAATATTTTATTTTTTTCTCGTCTTTTCTAGAATTTGATGGTTTGTTCATCAGTAACGGCCCCGGGGATCCTCAGCTCTGTCAGGCCACGATCAAAAACATGAGGAAGGTCATCTGCGTGGATCACCCCAAGCCAGTTTTCGGGATCTGTCTCGGACACCAGCTGCTCTCTTTGGTCATCGGAGCGAAGACGTACAAGATGAAGTCAGTACCTCGAACACGACTCTGTTAATTGAGACCTAAGGTGCTGAATGAAAATACACTCTTAAACGTCAGTTTGAAAACAACCACCTGCAACGTGAAGGTTGTCTGAAGAGCTGACAGAATTACCAAGGTTTACAAAAATCAAGGTTTCATCAGTCACATCGTGAAAACGATGACATTGTATATAACACACACTCGTCTCATGAGTCTGTAAAGTGAAAAGCATGTTAACATCATGGAGGATTCTTTGGAACAGGACAAAGATGTAACTGTTCTCAGAGACCAGATACCAGGGACCCTCTTCCAACTCCTGTAGAAACACAGACGGTCACATCCACACTCTTTCTTTTGGGAGAGTTGTGATGTGAAATGCAGATTTCTGCTGTTCTCAGCAGTCTGGGCTTCCCTGTACGAGCACAGCAGCGTCCGACTGACCGGCCGTGTTATGAAAAAGACAAAACAAACAAGCCAAGACAGAGGACGGTCGGCTTCTCGCTGTGGGTTTGAGAGGTTTTGTTCCCCTGACTCGGCTGCTTTATCAGGCTCCGTGTGAAGGTCAGGGCGGGCAGGGAATGTTCCCAGCAACCTGCTCCTGGAATTTTGTTGCCATCTGCAGCTGACAACAGGACTGTTACAGTGTTGGACCTCAAACAAGTCTAAATACCTGAACATGTGGGTTTTCAGCTCAAAAACAGAGGTGTAGTGGTTTAGTTCTGTGATTCAGGTGTTTATGAGGCGATATCAAGCGTCTTTCTGAGGCTGTTAGTGGCTGATAT